GTTGCTTTCTATCTCGTATGTCATGTATCTTTTCACCGGATGTGATGGCGATTTTCACTGTCCTGCCAAAGCCCCTGTCAATTACCTCGGGAAGGACTTATGACGGTAATATGAGATCAGAAGTAGGTGCTGGGTCTGGTCTTGTAGGTTCTCCGCCTTTTTTCTGAGTGAGGTTTAGCAGGAAGCCTCTAGGCGGAGTAGTAGTGAGCGGAGTAGTAGCGGATATATATTTATCTTTATTAGTAGGCTTATTGTACACAGGGGAAAAGTAGGCAGTCGTCATCCCGATGGATCAGAGGGTCCAGGAAAGGTAGATTCTGATCCTCTTCTTCCTCTACCGTGGATTGGATTCTCTCGTGGACGGAATTAAGCTGCGTGTGGTGTTGGCACGGCTTTCTGAGGGCATCATCTACGAACGAAGCCAAGTAGAATGTCTGCCGATTATAGTCCTGTAGCCGTAACACTCTCCAGTGTCTCCATGAAGAGGCAGGTCATAACTGCTGTCAGACGGGAGGCCATGACAAGACGGCTAATCTGCTGGTATTCTTCCCTTGCGAACTTCCGTGAGGATAACTTCGAGAGGTCCAAGGATAACTTCGGAGTCCAAGGATAACTTCGGAGTCCAAGGATAACTTCAGTAGGCTCGGGAAGTGGTGTTTCGGCAGCGGAAGTTCATCGTCTACCTCGGAGCTGGTGACCCTCTCGACTGCTCGGATTGCACCGTCTGTGGGTCCGCTAGTAAGGAGGGATTTCCCATCAAAACCTGATAGCTTTTAATCGCTGAAGACGTACTGAAGAGGTGCCCGGAGTTACCCAGGTGGGAATCACGGATGACTCCCACAACAAAATATACCCATTTCAGCCAAGCTAGCTCTCGCTTGGTTTTCAGTAATATGGGGTTGTTAATGAACGTATAATTAGAAACATATGTTAGTACCCTTTTATGATCACTATGTGAAGTAAGGGTTTTCCTCAATGTCTTTAGTGAGAACAATTAGAAATGTAAATCTTAAAAAAGAAGAAAAAGTTGCAAATCAACTTTTTCTGTATTCCACTTACCATACAGCGACCGTGTGTAAAATATTAGAGACGAAAGGGCAGACTACAGTAATCCCAACACTAGTAACCATTAGGGAAATTATATCCAGAGGGCCCGGATTCACTAACGCACTTACGATGGTAAAATCACTGGTAACTATAGCTGCCATGGTAAACAGACAGCGGTGGTATTCACTAACACCTTGCCATCGGAGTTACCATGATAAATTTTACCAGTGGTCAGAGCGCTGGTAACTTCTGGGAAGGCGGTGTCATCACGTGTTATCTCGTCAAAAAATCATTATCTAAGCAAAATTTTGGGTTTGTTTTTACACCTGATGTAACTAATATGATGGCAAACACATATCGCAATACGGACATAGTGAAGAAATGCAAATTTCACATGAAACTGAGCAAGAATAAAATCCACACAAATTCTCGGAAAATTATAGGCCTACATTATACTAGAATGCATGGAACCGATAAATAAGAGAACTCTTAACGAATTTTTCTCTGACATAATTATTGCAAATGCTATAGAAAACAAAAAACTAGCTTGCTGATATATAACTGGCAATACCAACGCTAAACGAGTACAGCAATTTCTGTGTCTGTCGGCATTTTGACAATAAACAAAGTGCATAAGAATACGCTTGAAATATTTTCTTTCGTGACAAATGGCGACGAATAAAAATTTTGTTTGGTTCGGTTCTCTGTTTAACAATGATGAAATACATATATGTAAAAAAACTTTGGACTGTCTCTTTGGTTTCAGGTAAACAAAAATATAATAAAACAGTGTTTGTCTTGGTTTCTATCTATACAGTAAATATATATCCAACATGATGGATATCATCATATATATATATATATATATATTATAATATATATATATATATATATATATATATATATATATTATACGCTTGAAATATTTGTGAATCCGGCCCAGGATTTGTAAGGCAAAAACAGAAAGTAATAATGGTAATAATACTGACTGTGATGGAAAAAATAGTAATAATAACTGAAAGAAGGATCAAAGGGACGGAAATGGGAATAGCAAAAACAACGATGATAACGATAAAATTACACGCTGATAGATAAATGATACAGAGAGGGAAAGAGAGGGAGAGAAAGATATATATGCAGAGATAGATAAATAGATTGAGAGAGAGAGAGAGAGAGAAAGAGAAAGAGAAAGAGAAAGAGAAAGAGAGAGAGAGAAGAGAGAAGAGAGAGAGAGATGAGAGAGAGAAGAGAGAGAAGAGAAGAGAGAAGAGAGAGAAGAGAGAGAGAGAGAGAGAGAAAGAGAGAAGAGAGAGAAGAGAAGAAAAAATGTATTTCCAAAAATACGTAGCATACACTTGCACATACCGACAAACAAATGAAAAATAAACCCATTTCAGCCAAGCTTAGCTCTCGCTTGGTTTTCAGTAATATGGGGTTGTTAATGAACGTATAATTAGGAACATATGTTAGTACCCTTTCTTGATCCCTATGTGAAGTAAGGGTTCTCCTCAATTAACTGAAAAGTCATTAAAAAATCTCCCTGTTTACCG